TATATATATATATATTTTTTATTTAGGGAAATTTTTCAATATTTTTAGTAAGGCATTAGTAGATTGGTTTTTTTTACATTTCGAAAGCAGATTTCTTATGTCAAAATTTCCTTACCGTATATGAAATATGGTTCTTTCTCTTTAAAGAATAAACTGAAATAAGTTTATTTTCACAAAGCCTCACAGTACCAACTGATACTCTCACATTATGTCATTGAAGGGTTAATTTGTTTATGAATATTTTCATGTATATAAATACACTAAGGACTAGACTCTAAAGCTAAGGCAATTTATTTGCTCATAAATATATATTTTTTCCGATATATCTAAGTGTACTTTGTATGTATAGAATTTTCTTGAAATTAAAAATGTTGATACAGTACTTTGCTGGAGCTACAACACTCTTTCTGCGTTGTTCTTCCCACTCAGGGATTTCTATTGAAGTAAAATGTCCATTCCATGTAAAGCCACCAATATGGAAGTCTTCTTTATTATTTCCAAGATAATGCAATGTTTTGTCATCAATAACATCCATTATTGGACAGAGTACCACTTTTCTGTCTTCCTTTATCCTTTGCAGTAATGGTTCTAGCCTGGTCAAAGAACAAAATGGAAGGAAAATGTATCATATTAAACATTTATACCAACACAACTTATAGCGTGTATGCATACATTTGCAGATAAACAGTTTTTGTAAAAAAGTACACAATTTTTAGTGTGTTATACAAATAATAAACATACATGATAGCAAAGCTAAACATAGAATACTGATCACATCAAACATGTATGATTTAATAAAGATTTTGACCTCTAATGAGCTTTTAGTTTGAAATAATGATTAAAAACCATTGTTAAATAAGAGTTTTCTCCATAGCATTTAAGCAGAACTTTTAAATAACAAATATTCTTAAAAACTTAATATGATTCTTAATTAAATCTAACATGATTTTAATATAAATCCTCATGCATAATACAGTTTGCTTGACATGGGAGTGATTTTTCAATGCTTTGGAAATTTGTGTATGGTATAAAATAAATAGATATGTCTGAAGAAGAGTATACTCTATTTTTATGCATAAATTAAAAAAAATGCATAAATTTGCTAAAACACCACTACCTGATTAGTACTAAGCCTAAACTAGAGGAAGGGTAATGATTGACTTATGTGAACAAAAAGGTTTTGATGCATTTTATTATTGTTGTTGCTGTTTCAGCATATTTGACTTCATTATTTACAATGTCTCAGATTTGACTTATCACAAAATATTTGAAAGCCAAAACCCAACACACTTTTATTGAAAAAAGAAGTTCAAATATCAGCCGCTTCTTCTACTTCTCTACATAAAATACCACAAATAGACCTAAAAATAAAAAAAGCTCCAAAACTTCTATTTAAAATGTAGCTTATGTACAAACATTTTGAAGAGTAGGACTTTCATTTCTGTATACTCATAGTAAAAAAGACATGATATTCCATGTTTTCATTAATTCTAGAAGTAACTGCATTTTTATCAAACACAATTTATTTAGTATGTTATTAAAGATAGGAGCATTTATAAAATCAGGTTTTAATTTTGAAATGTGACATAATAAACCGAAATTAGCTAGTCCGTACAATAACAGCATGAAAAAATTTAAAATATAATGCAGGAAAATGTGAAGGAAACCAAAACAGTACTTAATCTAATTCTTTTGTCAAGATGATATACTTCTACATGCTTTTAGAATTACAGTTAGCTAAAAATGTAACAAGAATTCAAAAACAATGCAAACAAGATAGTATGGATGGCATTTGAACACAGTGTAGTAGAATGTTAGGAGACAAAAAGAGGTTAAATTAAACTCAACTGTGATTGAATAGTTAT